ACAGAGGGTGGTGCAGCCCTGTGCTGGAAAGGGCAGGTTCCCCGGGCAATCAGGCCTAAGAAAGAATATGTAAAATCCTGTGAAACCTGCTTTGTTTAGAATGCTCTCAATTAACTGATAAGGGTCCAAACAAGAGGTAAGTTTGTTCCTTAAAGTTTTTTACAGCTCTTTAGCAATCTGACCCTGACTCAAAATAGCCCCTCAGAGTTCCTTGTTATTTGATCCTTACTTCCTGGCAATGAGTAATGAGCTTTATCTGAACTCCTGTGTAAATGAACCCAATAAAAGCCATTGAGGAAAAGGCTCTTGGCCCTTCTCTTGTGAGAGATCAGCCACCTTTCCTCCCCAAGCAGATCATGTCTTGGTAGACTTATTCTCATCCGTGGCAGCTGGGGGGTGGGGGGGCCCTGCGGGCGGAGCCCCCCCCACATAAAAGCAGGCAGTTCAGGGTTGGTGTAGCTGTTCACTGATGACTTTGAAACCCAGGCTTCTACCTTTCTGCCTTGTCATCATTCATCGGTTGCAGTATTGCCTCTTGTTTGCAAGATGGATGCTGTGGATCCAAACAGCATGTTTTTCTTCAAGGCACTAAGAAGTGGGGAAGAGTTGTCAAGACACCAGCTATATTTGTCACTTATTTCAGGAAAAGTAAAAGCTTTCTCAGAAGCTCCCAGAAGATGCTTGTCTGTGTCTCATTGGCCACAACTATGTCACATTCTTAATTGTCATCCTTAGCTGTAAGGAAGTCTGGACAAACACATTTGGCTTGCCTCTACTCTTCAAGGGAGGCAGCGAAGGAAATGGAGTTTCAAGATGTCCGTTGGGTTAGCCAACAAACAGTGTCTGCCACAACCAGTTAGGTGAGTGAGACAGGCAAAGGCAGTCTCACCTAACAGTAGCAGAGAAAGAAATTAATATGCTCAAGGCCACTGTGCCAGATTCTGTGCTGGGCAGCCTGCCTGTGTGTAGACATGTCACCAAATCTGTGGTGCAAGTCCGGAAGCTCAGGGCCGAACATGCTTTCAGGAGCCTAGATTTGCATCCAGGTCTGTCCGACTCAGAAGACTCTTCATGCCACCTCTCAGAAGTTGAGGCCCGTGTCCTCACAGTGGTTCATGGGGTGCTTCGCAGAGTCTCAGCACCTTCAGGTATATGTAGACAAAGTAAGAATCTATCTTATTGTATGGACCCAGATATGTTATTTTTTTTTAATGCGAGTAGTCGAATCCTTCTGCTGTGGTGACAGGTAACAGAGAACTGGCCTGGGAGGTGGGACACCCAGCTCTGTTCAAAACTGGGAGCTGAGTGACTCTGTGATCTTGGGTAAGTCATTTCTCCCCGCCTGTGAAATGAAAGATTAGACTAGATCATCTATTTTTAACTGGTGTGCCATAAGAGTTTTTAAAATATTCAATACCTGAGTCAGGGGCACTGACCTCTTTTCCCTTAGATTCTTTAAATTAAAAAATGACAACAGCCAACACAAAAATAGCCATCTGGTGTGAGTGAATCAAAGTTATACTTTTTTTGTCGGATCAGCAAAAAATTCATGTATTTTTTGGTGTGCTGCAGAATTTTAATACCTAGTTTATGTGTGCCATGAGATGAAAAAGGTTGAAAAATCGCTGGACTGGGTGCTGTACTAGGCATTTAATAGCCTTAGAACACTTAGGTTTTGCTCCTGTCTCTTATGGACCTTTCATTTGTTTACTTATTTAACAAATACTTATTAAGTGCCTACTATGTGCTAGGCACTGTGTGAGGTACTTGGAGTACACCAGCCAACCAAGCAAAGATGCCTGCCCTCATGGACCTCGTGTGTGTGTGTGTGTGTGTGTGTGTGTGTGTGTTGGCGGCAAGGGGTGCAAACAGTAAACACAAAATACAACAAATTTGTGATGAGTAAGTTACACAGTTGTTTAGAAGGATATTGGTTTTCTGCAGGACAAAGGTGGGAAAGGGGGAGACTGACCATGCTCAGGAGAGACGCAGGCATCCTCATGGGGAGCACATTATGGGAGCTGTTGCTGCAGACAAGGGAATGGCTAGAGCAAAGATCCAAAGCAGAAGTTGGCCTGAGTTTCCTGAGTGTTTTCTTCCCCCATCTGAAAACCAGCCTGGTGCCTTATCACCACAGAGCCATTATTTCCTTTCAAATGCAACTGGATCAAGCTTCCTGGACTTGAAGGCCATTTGAATTCAACCCTGCTTTGGTGGTTAGGGTTGTATAGGCAGATTTACCTCCATCTTTGCATCTCATTTCATAGTACAGAACCACTCAACTCCTAGGGATGGTTTGAGATGCTCATTACTTCAGCTACCCAGGAGTTGGGTAGCCTGCCACAAGCCTGCCAGGAGTTGGGTAGCTGAAGTAATGAGCATCTTTGTGGGGTTTCCTAATCTGGTTTTCCTCATCTCTTGAGTTGCTCCCTCCTGTGCAATATTTGGAGGCTACTGAGACATAGACACCACCTGGGGAAATGACAGCAGAGCTGTCAAGGCCTGGAGATACTAGAATGTTACCACAGCAGCACAACCTACCATTTCCAAGCTGCTCTTGCTGTGCTTCCTGTTTAATGCCTCCTGCACAGTGAGTGACTCATTGTTTCATGTTCCCAAAATGTTGTCTGTATCAATCAACCATAAAACCTCCAGTTCAAGGGAGCTGTGTTTTTATCTTTACCAGTTACTGCTCCTGAGCCAACCTATAATAGGAAGACCAGGCCCTTCCCTTAGGCTCCGGAAGGATCCTAACTAAGTAAGCAAGGCCAGGAGACCATAGAAAAACTCAGTGACTTGCTGGGCCATGCCAACTGTGTGTCTGAGTATGAGTGTGTGTTTAATGACAACTTGGAATGCATCTTGAAATATAACAAAGACAAAGGACAAGAGTTGCCTTTCTGAGTTGTGTTCCATGCAAAGAAGTTACTTGGAATCAGAGAACAGTGTACTATGCAGGTGCATTATCCCCAGTCGAACTGAGAACTTGCAACATTTATGTGAACAGGTTGACAGGCTCATGAATTAAAGAATTCCCCCCTGGGTCCTAAAGTAGTGTGTGCCCCAGCCACCTGCTCTAAGGTGATTGTATGTTAGACAAGAGGCTAGACCCCCTAGTAAGCTCCCTCCACATTGTACGGGCCTCTGTCCAAATACCCAAAAGGAATGGGTATCACTCACAGGATACTGAGAAATTTAGTTCTAGGGAACAACTCAGCATGGATTGCATAGTTCTCTGCCAGGGATGTCTGTTCTTCATGTGGCCTTGACATTTGTTTGATGGGAATTGCAAGGAAACTTAATTTAACTCTGATCTCTGTATAGTTTGAGTGAGGTTACGGGTGCAAATTGGGAATAGCATCCAAAATTCAGGCTACGTTTAAAGTGAGAGGGGAGAGTCTTCATCAGGATTGTGGGCCATTGAAACAAATCCCACATTGTGCCACTTATTGGGTAGCTGAAGTAATGAGCATCTTTTTGGGGTTTCCTAATCTGGTTTTCCCCATCTCTTGAGTTACTCCCTCCTGTGCAATATTTAGAGGCTACTGAGCCATAGACACCAGGTGGGGAAGAAACCTGTCATAAAGATGGAGATTGCACAGGTACAGGTGAGGGGCTACCCTAGAAAACTCTGGTAAGAACATCAGAATCAGTCTGAGTATAGTAAGAATGAATATAAGGGTATAAATCTCTATTTACATATTAGTCTATGTACATTGTTCATTCATTCAAGAGATACACGATGCACCTACAGCTGTGCCTGGCTCAGCTCTAGGCAGTGGAAATGCCTCAGCAAGCACCGCCATCCAAGAGTTGCCCTGTTTTGGGTAAATCACATGAAATTGTCAGTTTTCTATGTTAAAAAAATTTGCCTCTAAATACAGGGTTGGGCAAAAATAGGTTTACAGTTATTCGTGAGTAAAGTAGTACAATGATAAATAAATAATAATACAAGAATAAACTCTGTTTTGCATACTCACAGTACTGTAAATCTACTTTTGCCTGCCCCCCCTTGTATGCATCAACTAGTGAGCCAGCCATTCCATGCCTGGGTAGTTACTTAAAAAAAAAAATAGTAAAAGCAGACATTCATACAAAGACTTACAACGAATATAGCAGCTCAGAATGGAAACCGTCCAAATGTCCACCAACAAGTGAGTGGATAAGCTGCAGCATATCCTTGCAATGGGACACCACTCAGCAATAAAGAGGAATGAAGTATTAATGCACACTAGGATGTGGATGGACCTTAAATGCATTATGCTAAATAAAAGAAACCAGATGACTTCATTTATATAAAACTTTACAAGATGCAAACTAATCCATAGTGACAGAAAGTAGATGAGTGGTTCTCTTGGATTAGCACCTGGGGTTTGGAGACAAGCAGGGCAGAAAGAAGATACTACAAAGGGACAAGTGGGACCTTTGTGGGATGATGGTGATGTGTATTATCTTGATTGTAGTGATGGTTTCACCAGTGTATATGTATGTCAAACCTCTTCAAATGGTATACTTTACACATAGGTAGTTAATTAAATGAGAGTTATACCTCAATAACAGCATGAAAACAGTCAAATAGCAGCAGTTTCATATGGTTCAAGCAATAGATAAATGTTAGTGATAAATTAATTTTTATTGAATTTATTGGGGTGGCATTTGTTAATAAAATTATATAGGTTTCAGGTGTACAATTCTATAATACATCATCGATAAATTGTATTGTGTGTTCACCATCCAAAGTAGTGATAAATTAATTTTTTAACCATATATTCATTTTTCATACATTTATTGAAAACTCACTATGTGTCAGGCACCATGAAAGGTATTGTCAATGAAAATGAACGAGGTTCCCACTTGTAAGCTTCGCGGCTGAAATAAGTTTGTAAAGAGGCAACTGACTGTCTTTCCCACAGGCAGTTCTGAAGCAATTACCAGGCTTAACAAAGTTATCCTTTGTTCGCTGCATTTACGCCTGTGTCTGTGCCTTCCTTCTCTTCCAGAGTGACTTGTGGTCCCTGGGAATCACCGCTATCGAGATGGCAGAAGGTGCTCCCCGTAAGTACCTTCCTGAGGGTGAACTCTGTCGCTGGTCTGCTCTGCAGGTACTGAAGCTTCCTTGCCAGGAGCCGCGGTAGCTTTACTTCTGCTACGCTAAGCCCTGCGTGGAATCGAGCTGGCATATTTAGAAAGCAGAGTCCTTAAGTCAACCAGGAATCCATTCATTTCCAAGTGGTGTGAGGATCTTAAATTGATGATGGAAAAAAAAGAAAAGGGAGGCAAACTTTGGGGAGACTTATTTATTTTACAGATTCAGTGTGTAGTCGATTATTGAACTACCCTTCATCTACCTACCATAAAACTGAGGTACACCACTAAGACCATAAACTCCAACAAAAATTCAAAGCTGATTTTTAGTGCGTGAGTCACAGAAACACTTACACTCAGCTGCATTCACTCATATCGAAACACTGATGTTTAGACTTTTAGATTTCCCTCCATAGTCCAGGCTGCATGGCCCGGGCTCTGGCTCTCTGGAGAAGCTCTCAGATTCCTTGAGATCTGAAATATTGGCCCTGCGCAGCACCTGTACCAGGCAGGCCTGGGTGGCCAGGCCACTGACCAAGGGCCTAGCTGCCGCCGTGGCAATAAGACCGCACCTGCCAGGGACTACTCCCCATCAGTGACCAAGCGTGACAGGGACATAAGGCAGCAGAGTCTATCCTGGAAGACACAGGCCTCCTTCCTCTGCAGGCAACTCTCTCCTCCATTTTATTCCTGAGTTTCCTTAGACTGTAGGACAGTCTAGCACACTTCTGCCTGCTCTGGCTCCCTCTCTGCTTCCTTTGAGGCAGAAATTTCCACTTCTGACATTTAAAAACACCTTGGCACCTGCTCTTCAGAGGCCCCTTATTTGCATGACGGGTTGTTATGCTCGTAGGATGCTTTTTAACCTTCAAATCGTTATAGTTTTCTTATTTCTCACTCTACAGTTGGTAGAATTCATCTGTAGCATGATTGATTTGGAGTCTGTGTTGACAAATTTCCCCTCATCCACAATGCTAATAGGCATTTATGAGTCATAAAAATAATATATTACAGTCTTTAAACCATATTATCGTTCTTGATGAGTAGTTGCAGAGGCTAAAAATAAGTTTCAACCCACAGAATTCTTCAGCTTTTAGGGAGATTAGATTGTTCTTCTAGGCACAAAGGAAAAGATACTCCCAGATATTTGAAAAGTAAACTAGTGAGATAACTTTGATTAAAACAAGAAAGTTTGAGTGCTTTCACTATAAACAATGATATCATGTTTAGAAGTTGAGATAGTTTTAAAATTTTCCTGCCAGACTTCGTTTGCCTTAATCCTCTGGTCTACCTGGGGCCAGGGAATGAAACAAAACAAAAGCCCATCGGAAAACCCGGAAAGTCCTTAAGGATATTTGGAAATGCAGAGAACGGTGTCTGGTGTAGTCTTTTATACTCAAAATCTATGTAGATAACATTGCATCTGGATGAGAATGTATAAGAAGCATGCCATAGATTATAAAAAATCCTTTATTCTTAACACTTAGCTTTACTAACTAAAATAACTTCCCATTTCCATTGAGTGGTTATCTTGATATTGTTTACTTGGAATCTTAGATGCTTATTTATAGCAAAGCAAACCTCGTTGACCCTTTAACTTTGTTTACTTAATTATAAAGTCAAAGTAGAGATGCTATTCTCTAGCTGAAATGTGTTGTATTTTAAGAGACTCCTGTAATGAGACATCAGCTCTTTCAGCGCTCACCAGATGGAAGCTTTGTGCTCTTCTGACTCCGCTCACTGGTCATGCGTGGACTCAGGGAGCCACTTGGCAGCCTTGGCCGCACAGCGAGGGTGAACTTGGCGTGAGTTTGGCCTCCTCACTGGAGCTGGCCCCTGTTTTGGTCTCTTGCAGCTCTCTGTGACATGCACCCAATGAGAGCCCTCTTCCTCATCCCCCGGAACCCAGCGCCTCGGCTGAAGTCTAAGAAGTGGTGAGTTTGGGCTTCAGTGTTTTACAGATCCAAGGGCGGGTTTTCCTGATATTCTTTTTTAGATTAACTCAAATACTGAGGTCCTGCTGACAGAATTAGACTGTGTACACTAAGACTTGGTGAGTGACTTGACATATGAGTCGAACATCTTACTGAATCAAATACGCATTGAGTTACTACGGCAGTTCCCCCTTGTCCGTGGATTCCCTTTCCGAGGTTTCAGTTACTCGTGGTCAGCTGCTGGCAAAAGTGTTAAATCTCCCCAACCATTGACATTGTCATGGCCTAATGACCCAGAAGCCCCAGAAGCAGGCGATCCTCTGTAGCCTGGCGTTGCGTCATGACGCCTACATCGTTCGCCTCACTCCATCTCATCATATAGGACTGTATCCTCTCCCATTGTGTTACGAAGAAGAAAAGTGAGTGCTTGACAGTAAGATATTTTGAGAGATACAGTCACATAACTTTCATTGCAGTTATTGTTATAATTGTTCTATTTCATTATTAGTTACTGTTATTAATCTCTTACTGTACGTAATTTATAAGTTAAACTTTATCATTGGCATACATGTATGTACAGGAAAGAACTTAATCTCTCCAGGGTTCTGTACTGTCTGTGTGTTCAAGCATCCACTAGGGGTCTCAGAACATTCCCCCATGGATAAGGGGGGACTCCTGTATTTGTACAGCAAGTCTTTACCCCATACTGTTAAGGTAAGGAGCTCTTAGCTAAAATGGATGGTAGGCCCTGGCTGGCGTAGCTCAGTGGATTGAGCATGGGCTGTGAACCAAAGCATCACAGGTTCGATTCCCAGTCAGGGCACATGCCTGGGTTGCAGGCCATGGCCCCCAGCAACTGCACATTGAGGTTTCTCTCTCTCTCTCTCTCTCTCTCTCTCTTTTTCTCCCTCCCTTCCCTCTCTAAAAATAAATAAATAAAATCTTTTAAAAAAATGGATGGTGGAACCCAGGTAATCTCTTTTCTGGCAGCACAGAATGTCTCAGAGTAGCAGGCAGTAGTTCAGAGAGTTAGGCTGGCTGACTTCTACTTTTTAAGGCAGTAATTCTCTCTAAGTGCTTACACACGCCTGGTAGTATGTGAGATGATTTCATGGGTCTGTGCATGAACATTGGTAATTTTTGGTGTTCTATTGCTTTCTCTTCATGACAGGCGATATTGGCTTCTTATTTTGAATAGCAATATAGCCTTCCCATTTAACAAAGTTATTCACATGAAAAAGTGACTTAGAGAAAAATACTAAATGAATTCTAGGATGAGTGGTGGAAGGGTTTGGTGAAAAATTATGTCATTAGTGTATGATTGCTTGAAGTTTGGGAAACAGAGTTTGACAGGTCAGGCCAGAAGTTGGACTTCTGGCATGTTGCACTTATATCAGGTCTATGTACCTAATCAGTCTGTAACAAAAATGCATCGCTCCCACCTTTTACCCTGGTGGCCTCGGTGTATCCTTCCTGCTGCATTCTTGAACCTCTGATTCCCCTGGCACTGGGCCAATTTGTGGACCTCCTGTGACCTCCTATCCTTTTCTAGAGACATATTCTGGGCAGTTAGAGCATAAAGGGACAGATACTCTTGCCCCCTGTTGTGACACTTCATGATCAGGCATTTGACTGGAGCCCTGCTGTTTCTCACCTACCCACTCACAGTTTCACACTCCTATGTGGAGAACAGTCTTGGTTAATACCAGTCATCTGGGAACAGCAGAGCAACTCCAGTGGAACAAGAGGGAGGCACCAAGAAAGGGAAGGAGACAGCCAGAAGGGATGACAGCCCTGGAGTTGCCAAGGCTGCAGGAAGAGAGAGTGAGAGTTGCTATTGGTAACAAGGAGGCAGAGCATTCTCCGCTCCTGCCTCTCTCTCTAGAGGGTCACTGTGGTGTGAGAGGACCATTCTCTCCCCAGCAACAGCCTTCCATTGGGCACCAGCACAGCATGTGATCGCCAGGGTACCCAGGCCCTGCTTCCTTCTTTCTCCCTGCAACAGGCTCCCAGGGAGAGGAGGCAGCTCAGTGGCACTAGGTTTCTGCTTGTCCTTCACTCCCAGCCTCCCCAAGGGGCCTGCTGTACACAGTGGACTTCACTCACCCTGTTCACTTCTAGTCTCCCTGCACTGCCACTGGACAGATGTTTCCAGCTCTCCCATGGAGGACCAGTGAGCCATCTGCACGTAGGTTTTGTTGGAGCAGCCACACCATGTTTCAGAAATATTTGTATTAATCACCAAGTGTTACAAATCTGGTGATGGAGCATAACATTTAGATGTCTGGCCTTGTGTGCAAAGGTGCTGCAGTGCTACCCTGCCAAGAGCCCCTCTGCCCTATGGGGTAAGAGATTGTCCTACTGCCCCAAAAGCCACCTCTCACTAGCTCAGAAGCTGGAGTCAGTTGATCACTGCGCTTGTCCTGTTTTCTCTTAACCTGGCCTGCACTGCCCTTCAAGGGGCCTGTCTGGCCCCTCAGAAGAGTGAGCGAATGGCTCCTGTACTGTGGTCTTAGTTTTCATTGTTCCAAAAAAATCAACCCAGCATTGACCTTGTTTGAGAAATACAGACTTTGTGGAACATACAGTCTGTCTGTTCTGCTTCAAACCTCAGACAATGACAATTTTGATAATGCCACAGGGAGCTAGTCAGTCCAGGAACAGTGAGGAGGCCAGGCCAGTTTCATGTCACCCGGCCCCCTTTCTTGGCCCTCCATGACTGGGAGGGAAGGCCAGTGAGGAGCACAAGTGCACACCATTGGACAGGGAGAGGAAAGGTAGCTCGGCCATTTGCTAGTGAGCAGGGAAACAGCAGCCCTGGAGAAGCACTCTCTGGCCCTCAGAGCCTGGCCTTGATGAGGTGGTGTGCAGCTCTAGCCACAGGGCACGCGGGGAGGCTCCCGCTTTCCCTGATAGAGTTCCAGTTTCTAAGTGAAAATACTTGAGAACTTCAGAGTCCAGTTGACCCTTGTACCATGGTCAGGGGTGCTGACCCCTGTGCAGTCGATCCAAATAAAACTTTTGACTCCCCTAAAAACTTAACTACAGTTGTTCCTTTATATCCTTGAGGGATTGGTTCTAGGACCCGCAAATGCTCAAGTCCCTATATAAAGTGGCACAGACTAAGGCATACAATCAGCCCTCCATACCAACTATTGGTTGAATCCTCAGATGCAAAACTCGGGTATATGGAGAGCCAGCTTCATATTTATTGAAAAAAATTCACATATAAGTGGACCGACACAGTTCAAAATGGTGTTGTTCAAGGGCTGCTGTACTCTTGTCTTGAAGATTCAGGTCCACAGGGATTTAAAATGGGGTGTGCTTTAACGTGCTCTAGGGTTTGGGAGGAAAGGAAGTATTTTGTTTATTTTCCTTTAATTTTTTAAGAGAAGGAACCTCCATGCCACATCAAGAGAAACAAAACTCCAAAATGTTCTTTTATATACAGCTGTTCTCTGCCTAAATGAGTTATCAGAGGAAGTACACTGTTCTCAGTGTAATGTGAACGTATTACCAAATGGGGGCACCATTGTGGTAGAGATTGGCCATGAACTCTTCATTATGTCAAGGTCATTTCCAACTAACATAGCTGAATCTGCAACATGCAAGGCATATAAGAAATACGTATGTTATAGACTCAATAATGTACGTGTATGAAAAAATAAGATACATATTTCATCTTAGTCACTGCCTTGCCAGGCAAATGCTCTGAGTCCTCATTTTATTGATCAGAGACAGGCTCAGGTAGGTCATGCTCCTTGCACAAGGGTATACAATCTTTTAGTTTCCCAAGTTTGTAACCCACATTCCTTCTACTGTACCACTCTTAATTTCAAGGTTAAAGTGGTAGAGAATGAGCTCCACCAGTCTCTAAGTTGCACATTTTTTCCTCGCACCTTACTATTGGGGAAAGAAAGGCAGTAGCACTGCTTTTGCCCCTTGCACTGTAAAAACAAGGAAAGCATCCCTCCTCGCAGGAACCTGGCCCTTCCTTCCCCCAGCAACGTAAGGAGGAGAAACCTTAACAGGGGTGTCAAACTCATTTTCACCGGGGGCCTCATCAGCCTCGCAGTTGCCTTCAAAGGGCTGAATGTAATTTTAGGACTGTATAAATGTAACTACTCCTTAATAGTTAAGCAAGAGCTCAGCGCTGCCGCCAGGTAGAAACAAGGTACCAGGCCGGATAAAACAAGGTGGAGGGCCGGATTCAGCCCTTGGGCCGTGTGTTTGCCGCCTGTGCCGTAGAGCTCAGGAAGTCATGCAGTCAGGGTCTCCATTCAGGGTTCGGCTGGCTCAGTCATTTGGGACGTCGTTCTCCTGGTTGAGTAGAGGAGAGCGAGGATGTCCTCACCCTCTGTCTCCATGACCCCCCAGCAAATGGACAGTGATTTGGGGCTCACATGTCCTCCTCCCGTCTCTCTCTGTGTGGTTGGAGCCAACCCAGGTGGGTCAGCCATCTCCTACAAAGATGTCCTCTCCCATTCTCTGCCCACCATGTGCGCCCGCACCCCTGCCCTGGCACACATACTCAGTGCTGTAGTTTCCTTCCAGGGGTTTCTGGAGGAAGGTGGAGATGACTTCGTTCCCGTAAAAGATGGTTGGTCTTGTTCTTTTCATGTGCCCTTTGAATGCAAAGGTTTCACATGGGCAAAGCAGTGCTCAATGGACATTGTTAGAAGAATCATAATTTGTTATCACCAGAAAGATGCAAAGATTCCCACTTGGGCTTTGGCTGAAGACTGCAAGGCCTGGTGACGTTAAGTGGCTTGTCTGGGGCCCCAGGCTCATCCCTGGGAGAGCCAGTCTGGAACCCACCCCCCCAGCCTTCTGCTTTCACTCCAGAGCTTACAGTGTCTCCTCTTATTTTATGAAACACCAGTTCTGATTCCTGGTGGGCCACCAGGCACTTTTGTTTTAGGAAATGACAGAGCCACTTGTGTGTGTGTTCTAAGTAGTAGAGTGATAATAGCAAATTCATAAAATACTTCAAATAGACTGAATTTGCTAGTAATAGTGTGACTTTGGACTTTATCAAATCAAAACAAAAGTTGCTACATGAACTTTCTCAATTAACCTTTTCTGCAGTCTCTTTGGAGATAACAGTCCTGTTGACTCTTCTCGCTAGCATGTCTAATCCAAATATATGCAAAATACTTCCCTTAAAGAGCCCTACTATTCAGCTCAACAGAAATGGGGGGGGTACTGTCTCTAAATCTCTAGTCCTAAAGACAGACACTCTTGTTCTTTAAGCCCAGTAATAGCTAGAGGTTGCAGGGACACTGTCATCATCATAGTCATAATAATAACCAATAACAGCAAATGCACCTATAGCATTTATGTGTGTAAATGCATGTACATACATGTAACAGGCACTATTGTAAGCATTTTACATGAGTTAACTCATTTAATTATCACAACAGCCTTTTGAGAAAAGTATTTAATAACATCCCCATTTGCAGCCAGGGGACCTGAGGCACAGAGAAGTTAAGCAATTTGTCCAAAATCACACAGTAAGTGATGGAGGCCAATGGAGGAAAACAGAATAGTTCTGGAGCAAAAACAAATTTTAAAGGTCAAATTGCCTTTAGGGAGTCAGTCCTGTGATTACCAACAACTTTCAGCCTGGCTGGTTGTAATGATTAATGTAATACTCTTTTGGGCATGTTTAATTCCTTTAACACAATTTAATACATAATCAGGAAAAACTGGGAGGATGAAGTGTTCAGTGACATTGGTATTAAAAGAACCAGTGTCTCAGACTATATGCACCAATCATTAATGTCTCTCTCTCCATGCCAACCCTGAGGAAATTAGTATTACTAATCTTGGGCATTTCTTTAAAAAAAAAAAAAAAAGACAGAATTAAAGCACTAGCAGCAGAGATTCTAACAATAAAGTCATGTGAATGTACTTTAAACCCTTAAGACCACTCAGCAAACAGCCAGGTGGTATTCAGCATAAGTGAAGTGTTTTTAGTTTTAATTAAGTGTGTAATTAAGTATATTGATTCTTTGGTCACACTAATTTAAATAAGAGACCATGAATCTCTTTGAAGTAAGCATCATTTTCTCTTCAAACGCAGGACCATTTGAAGATGTGGAATACATTTCCAGCTTTGTGGTAGTGCATCCTTGGCCCGCCCTTTGGGCCCATGCTTGAATATTCCTTGAGGTTCTTTCCCACCAGGAGAGATTCTAGGAGAATGACCCTGCACCAGGCTGGTTCCATGGAACTTCTTGAACACATTCTCATCCTGGAGATGTTTCTGACTTTTTTGAGGTGTCAGTATTGGGGAATGAAAGGGACAGTCTATTAAGTCTGGATCTCATTTTTAAATTGGATGTGATTTATTTATCATCCTCTAATGAATGGCCTACCACTTTATAAAAAATGAGCACTTCCTTCTAGTTGCAAGCAGAAAAAAGAAAATGTCCATTTGCATTCTTCATGAATATTTAATGGTTTTCTGTCTGAATTTGTTTGTTTTCATCTTTCTAATAGGGATTCTCTCTTTTTTTGTTTTCTAAAATTTAATCCTAATTGTATATTTTTCCCATTACCATTTAGTCCCCTTGTACCCTCCCCCTCCCCCCAGCAATCACCACATGGTTGTCCACATCCATGAGTCCTTTTCCATTTTTGCTCCACCCCTCCACCCCCTCACCTGCACCCTCCAACCAGCTGTCATCCTGCTCTCCATCTATGAGTCTGTCCCCATTTTTCTTGTTAGTTCAGTTTGTTCATTAGACTCCATATATAAGTGAGATCGTAAGTATTTGTCTTTCTCTGACTGGCTGATTTCACTTAGCATAATGTTCTCCAGCTCCATCCATGCTGTTGCAATAGGGATTTTCTACCTAGAGAAGCACCATGTGGAATTTGTGTATTTTTTAAACTCTTCAGTTTATTCCTTACGGGTTTGTTTGTTTGTTTGTTTGTTTGTTTGTTTGTTTGTTGTGCACAAGGTCTGTCTGTAGGTGATATCATATTTGTGCCTCCACATGTTTATCTGATGGATCTGAGAGAGAAAGCCGACCCAACAATATCTGCTCTCCAAGTCCCTCTTTCTGTCCCTCGCAAGCACAGATTTAAAGGTGACCCTGTGACAGCTCTTGTCCAGAACCCTCATCTGTTACCCCTCCATGCATTCAGGTTTGGCAAACACATAGGACCAGGCAGTGTGCTCGTCGTACCAATAGGACTCAAGCACACCTGAACTCAAGGACTGCCGCCAGTGTGGTGGGAACAGCTGGGGATGGAGCACTTGGAGGGAGGTGCAGCATGTCCATCCCCGTCTCGCTGTTTCTCGCCCAATCCTGATTCCTCCTGGGGTGGCCCCAAGCATAGCAGGTTGCCTTATCTCTGTGTAAACTAATTTAAAAGCTTGAACATAGCTTAGAAATGTAGGGAGGAAAAAAATACCAATAATTTGGAACTTTAAAAACATGGAATTGAACAACAATAAAGTAATTTATTTAAAAAAAAAAAACATGGAAAAAGGTGAGAAACTGCTTTGACCTTGGCAGGACTGAAGTGGTGCATGTACGAATGTCCTCTTGCATTTGAATCTTGGAGAAGACGCTCACCATTGCATTCTGAGTGGTGAGGATACTCTTCAGGCCTTAAGTAAACATACACACAAATACACACAGGCTTGCACCTCGCCTCCCCCGAAACTTGGGATGGCTTGCTCCGGGAATCTGCTCCTGTAACTCCACAGTGCTTCACAAGAGGGTGACAGAGAGCAAAAAACAGATTACCCTCCAGCTCTGAGCAGGGGGTGACGGGTTTGGCCAAGGTCTCAGAGGGTGATTGGCTGTGGAGCACCTTAGAAAGGCATGCTGTAGAGTCATGAGCTTAATTATTTATCATTAGGGAAAGTAATAAATTCAGCAAAAACATGCATGATCAACTCATGAATCAGAGCTAAAGTCCACCGTTGAGTTCTACTACACTGTGTACTTGCTGCCCTAATCACTGGCGTGGTATCTCCCATCAGCTCCCCGATCCCGTGCGTCTGTGGCATGGAGTTTATCTTTGAAGAAATATAGCCTTTCTAGACGGAGATAATTTGCTTCTGGTTAGGAACTTACTTCCTTAAAGTTAAGTTTCCAAGTCCTTGGAGTTGATAGCAAATACATACATACATCCTATCCTTTTGAATTGGAAAGCAAAGTTCAAACGTGATTCTGAAATTACCTCCTCAATTTTTTCTTAGTCAAGTTCACTTTTCCATAGAATAATCTTGCTCATTTTTGCCAAATAGACTCCCCTACCCTACCTCGATTTTACTTTTCCCAGCTTGCATTTGCTGCCATTTAGAAAACCCACTTCAGTGCCCCCCTGACATAAAGTGAGCTCACTCCTGGCTGTGGTTTTTCACTGATTTTATGCCTCCCTGAGCTGTCCTTTCCCCACAGTGATTTCCTCCTCGTCCTTTAAGACCCAGCTATGGTTCTCTCATTCCAGTAGAACTTCCAGGTATGATTCCCAGCAGGGTCTTTTGCTTCTCCAGTTTCTTTTGGATTTCTGTGAGATATTATGTATAAACTGTGTGAAAAATACTTCCTTTCCCATATATCACTGCCATGGATTGCATGAATTGTGTGTGGGTGGTGATGATGCCGGGGAACCCACTGTGCCTAATGAAGGGCTAGACCTATTTTGTGATGGGTTGATCTCGATGTTGGCCGATCGGACCTATTTTTCTCTTATTTTTTTTAATTCTAACATTTCACACGAATATGTTTGCCTTTCTATGGACTGTCTTTCAGTCTGTGTTTCATCTCTTTTGTTTGACAGGTCAAAAAAATTTCAGTCATTTATTGAGAGCTGCTTGGTAAAGAATCACAGCCAGCGACCAGCGACAGAGCAACTGATGAAGCATCCATTTATCCGAGACCAGCCTAATGAACGACAGGTCCGCATTCAGCTCAAGGACCATATTGATAGAACAAAGAAGAAACGAGGAGAGAAAGGTTAGAAGCACATTTGTATTTCAACAAGGGAAACAAAAGATGGAGTGAGTCCTGGGCTCTTGACGTATTTGAACATGACCGTGGGATTTCAAATGGGCCTGCATTATTCTTTGGTGTGAGAGGCTGCCTCCAAGGTCAGCCTGTGGGCCTCAGTGAAGTACCTCATCCACGGCTGGACGGAATCTTTCGTGAGAGAACAGAACCACAAGAAATACAACCTTTTCCAGTCGCTGAACAAAAAGAGGCATGTTGAGTGGTGCTATGGAGCAGGTTAATATGACAAGCAGTTTTCTTAATTCAAATGAATATTCATGTTTTGAAGACTAAAATTCTACAGGAGACAGACAGCCTAAAAAAATCTAGTTGACATTTTTCTGTACTGGCAGTTTTGAACATTTAGGTTTTTGTGCTGTGAGGCTCATTTCTGATTTAGTTATTTGGAAGGCAGAATGAATGTTCTTCTAGTCTCCGTGAAAGAAAAGAGGCTGCCAGGCTTTTTTCCTAATGGTGGCCGTGGGCCACTCCGTGAAGTCGAAATCTTACAGGGAATATTTTAAGGTGGTATGTCAGACATGCAGCCATTGAAGGTGACCTTCTTGAAAAAGGAAATTTAATTTACTATGGGTACATAAAGTAGGTTAAGTGCTCAGAATCTTATTTTCAGACTCAAATTCTGAGTTCAAGGCTAGCTCTACCCTTTAATAGTTACCTGAGCTTCAGCCCAGTTTCCTGATCTTTAAGAAACGACTGGGTTTACAGTGATAACTAGGATCGCCTGGCATTGTTGCAAAGATTAAATGTGACAGTGCATGTACATTTCCTAATACAATGTCTGGTACATGGACATCCTCGATAAATATTAGCTGTTCTTATTTAGACAATTCTTTGTTGACCTATAATTTTCCAGTACTGCTAGGGTTACTTTCTGAAAACCTCTGACCTCTCTGCCCCTGACTGGTAGGAATGGATAAAGTTTGAACCTCGGGTTGTTTTCACATTTTGGTGGCACAAACTCTGCAATGTGAGTCAGAATTCTCCATCCCATGGAAAAAAAAAAAACAGACTATTTTTAATGTGTTCCTTCTCTGCAAAGTAGAAGAGTAACATTTTAGGTGGTAGGTACACTCAGCTGTTACATGGTCATCTAAGGAACTTGAGTTGGAGGGGATTTAGGGCCCATTTTCGTCTGTTCCCCAAGAAAGAGCATTGATCAAATGAGATCTCACTTTGTTTGCTCGGTTTAACCAAATGACTTAATTGGTTCCTTTTAACACTATTTTACTCTCAGTAGCTCTAAGACCAGCTTTTGGTTGAATCAGTTTCTAAAATTTTATTGAATTTAGTAGGGTGACATTGGTTAATAAGATTATACTAGTTTCAAGTACACAGTTCTGTAGCACATCATCAGTATATTGCATCGTGTTTACCATCCAAAATCAAGTCTCCTTCCATCGTGATACGTTTGACCCCTTAACCCTCTTTTACCTCCCCCGACCCCCCTTCCCTTCTGGTAACCACCACAGAATCAAACAATTTTAATGTGCATTGCTTTATGATATTTTTACCTCATATATTTTCCTTAAAATATGTTGACACATGCTAATTTAAGCCAGTAATACAAAAGCAATCAAGCCAGATTCTGGAGAAATATTATAATTAAGGAGGCTGATAAATGAAGGTTTTACCCTAGAGAGTAAAAATAATTAGATTAATTGGGCGCTTTTTTCCTTGCTGTCATTTCCCTTAACCGATAAAATCTCTGCATTTTACTTTGAACTCTGTTGATTCATTGCGGGAAAGTTTGGAATATTAAACTTTTAATGTAGAATATTGAGACACTTTATGAAGGTTCTTTACATTTCATAACTGGCCTCAATATGAGTATGTGAAGCTAACTTGTGATTTTAAAAAATACTCATGAAGTCATCACACTTTTGGCTTCATTTTTTTTATCCCTTTAATGGCTAAATGGTATGGAAGGCAAGGTGTGTTCAAGCTTATGATCAAGGATCAAGTGCTGTAGTCCTCAGCATGTATCTGCTGCCCCTGGTGACAATATAACCAAATTGCAGTTTTAGCTCCTTAAGGGTGCACAAATACCTCCCAAGTTGTGATTACTAACCCACTGCTATGAAAGGATAACAGTAATGTGTTATCACCCTCCCTCAGTCAAAATCAAAAGTTCCTCCGAAGGAGCCCACTGCCCACAGAAAAGTTCTCAGCATGGTTTATGTAAGGATCAGCAAGCCGTATCAAACCTGCTGGCCTTTTGCACACCATCTGCTTTTCTCACACCCTGACATCTAGCCACTGATGGCTCATTGTTTCCTGAATACGCTATGCACTGTGATGCTGTTGGCCACTGTCAGGTGGTTACATTGCCTAGAAAGCCCTTTTCCCACCACTTTCAGCTGCCATCTGCCTGGAAAAGGGTCACTGACCTTCTAGGGCCCAGATCATTTTCCCTCCGAGATTGTGCTGTCCCCCTTCCCCAGCAGACTTAGCTCCTTCTTTCTCAGATATCTCATTGCAGTTTTTGTGTACCTCTATATAGCATGTAATATGTTGGAAAGAACACTAGTTTTAAAATTGGAAAAGTTTTGAATTGAATTCTAAATCCAAATCCCAAATTTATGAATGAGATGACATTGGTCACATTACTTAACCACTTATAATCTCAGTATCTTCATTTGAGAAATGGATATTATCTCAAAGTATTGTTAAAAGGAATAAATGGGACAATACAGGTGTAGTATCTAGCATGGTGACTGGCATGGGAGATGCCCAGCAAAGACTAGTTCCCTTTCTTCCTCATCATGGGGACTCTAATTTGTTACTTGTCCCTCTTGCCCATTAGATTCCTCCAAAGCAAAGACTCAGTCTTATTCATTATTGCATGTTAAGTTGCTTAACATATTATTGAATTAAATGGATGTCCCCAGTGAAATTGGGTCGATTAAAACACATTTAACTATATTTTTAATAGCACATTTTGTCAAAAGGTTCTCTCTGGTATTTATCAAGATATCTCAAGGCAATTTGGAGTCCATATAAGACATATTAAAATTCCTACTTGAACAATGATTAATAAGGTCAAGAAGTTAACAATGAGCCAATCGAAGATTCTCTGAGGTGGTTCTATACATTATGAACTAACACAAACTGAAAGGCGATGTTTCCGTTCCTCATCTTCACTTTCGTGTGAAGAACACCACTAGGGACAGAGCTCTTGCGCTGGCTGGGACAGTATTAGATGTGGTTACTTCCATGTACTTGAATCCAGCTGATGGGAACTTTTGGAGCTCAAGTCAGAAGGCCTGGAGTTCAGGGTAAACCACTCTGGACCTCAATTCACTTATATATAAAGCAAGGGGGTTGGGCTTTACACAGCTGTGGTGTCTTTTTTGTGCACTAACCTTCCTTGAGTCTCTCTCTAGATGAAACAGAGTACGAGTACAGTGGAAGTGAGGAAGAAGAGGAGGAGAATGACTCAGGAGAGCCCAGGTAGGAGAGCAGAAGCTAAGTCTTCTCATTTTCACATTCCAAATTCTGCTTGTGGGAAATTTACTTCCTGTTGATGTATAGGTTCATTTTTAAGAATCCAGCATGGTGGTCTTATTTAATTTATTGCCTACAAATATGCTCATTAATTTGGGGAAATTTCCCTAGGCAGACTCTTACAAAAATGTGGAAATCAACATATCCTTTATCTTGTCGCCCAAGATTTATGGTCTCTATTCTAAGACCTTGTTTCCTCACATATGTAATGTGTAGAATGGGCAGGAGGCAACTATCTGGGTAATACAGGGCTAAAAGTATCTAAAACTGTCATTTTCAGGAGACCTAAGTGGTGTTTTTGAACTTGAGTCATTTAGTTCATTACTCCGTACCTTTGACAAGCCCATTTGGGCAGCCACCATCCTTGTCACATGCCTTGGTACTTTCACCACAGCCTAATCCAAGAGGAAACAATTTCCACGAAATCAAATTACACCCCAGAAGCAAACCCTAAATAGAGACTTTCATGCCCATTCCTGTTGTCACATGTTGGACCCCAGAATCAAGCACTGCTTTATTATTATCATCTCCATGTTTTGAATTTCACTTGACTTTGACTTTGACTTTTTCTAGTCTGTGTTTATAAATAATTAATGCCGGTGTGCTCACACTGCCAGCATTATCTTTTGTGAGAGAATTCAGCTGGCAGCTGTTTGGGAATCCAGGGGTACAGTCACACACATCATGGCAGGCACACTGTACATGTAAAAGGGGTTCACTGAGAAAAATGCACAAGTTGAAATGTCACTGAAATATACGGGTCTTTATCTGTTAGCCACTTAAGGAGGGGAGCCCAGTGCTCCAGAGGAAGAAGCAGTTCCTGCATTGCTGAGGCACAGCTTCCTGACCAGGGAAGGGGCCTGCTCAGCCACTGCTGCTGGAATGTGCTGGTGGGTTCCTTTTGGGGCCACCTCAGACCCACTATGCTGGATTATTACTGAACCACTGGAACAGAGTGAGACTGAGCTTGCTGAGCTGCCCAGTTTTTCTCTGTTCACCTGCCACAGGACTTCTCAAGGTCAAAGACTGAGAGATAATTCTTTCCTTCCATCTAATACTTAACATCTTGGCCACCCCCAGCTTAGCTGCATAAATATGGTGACTGTCAAGTAGTGACATGGTAAATGGTCATTCTTGGGAAGCGAAGGGCCAAGCGCCCTGCTTTCAAAGAAGTTGTACACTATTTTTCCAAAGCTCACCCAGACGGTCATGTCAGTCATTCTGATCACTCTCTGGAGATCTGAAAAGCCCCGTTTTAACTCATGCTTGCTAGCCTGCATGTCAGGAGTCACTTAGTGAGCTGACCGAGCCATGCCTGAACATTCTATAATTGTAACATGTCATTATAGCACATTGAAGATTATGTTCCAAGTCCTGTTTTATGGACACATCTAATTAATCTTCGTGAAATTCAGAAATGTAGGAAGGAACAGTGGTTATCTCATTTTAGAGATGGGGTAACAGTCCAAGGGTGGCAACCTGGTCATATACCAAGTTAATGATTCAGTCAGTAATACAGCTCAGATCACCCGACATCGATTCAACATCTCTTAATGTTAACAGGCATCGTCGTGTGCATGTGAGGTTTCCGAAGCAAGCGTTATGATCTGGAGTTAGTTTTAGAGTTCTGCACAAAGACTGCAGGTCTTAGAGGAGGCTAGTTGGTAGGACCCAAGCACTGTCTATGGAATGTCGGGAATGGAGGCCTTTGATATCATTTTGTGGTAGTACCTCACACAGCACGCTAACCCCTCTCCAAAACGGAACGGTCACGTCACCGACTGCCACCAGAATGGCTTCTCCCCTAGCACTCTCCACCCCAGTTGTCACCATCACTGCCCAGATGCCAAAACCAAACCTGCAAGTCATCCTCCACTCCACACACTAGGTCCACCAGCAGATCTCACTAACTCGGTCCGGAAATGGTTCTTCCAGCCCAGCCTCCATCCCCTCCACTCCCACCCTAAAGTCTCTACCCAAGAGCCATGGCAGGAGCAGCCCAACTGGTGGCCTTGCCTGCCATCCTACCCCCTGCACTGTCCTCTGTTCAGATCATATTACTCTCCTGCTTAACCTTTCCATGTGTGGCTTCCAAATCCATAACACTGTCCCCTCACGGCCCTGTCTCTCTGACCTCCTCTGTTCCAGTCTCCCTGTTACTCACTCTGCTCTGAAGAAGGCCAGCTGGAGTTCAGTTACTCGAAGAGGCTACACTTGTTCCCACTACAGGCCTTTATACAGTTGACTCTTAAAAGTTTTGAACTGCGCGGGGTCGGTGAATACGTAAGGTCGACTGTATGCGTTGACCTGCACCATTTACACAGGAAACTGGAGCATCCTTGGATTTGGGTGTCTGCAGGGGTTGGGGGGGGGGGGTCCTAGAACCCATCCCTCGTGCCTGTTGAGTGATAACTAACTTTGGAGGCAGTCAAAATTATGCACAGATTTTCTACTGTGCAAGGAGGCAGTCAGCACCCCCAACCCCCACATTGTTCAAGGGTCAACTCTACTTGTTTTCCTTCTGCCCAAAGTATTTTCCCCTTCTTCTCATGACTGATTCTTCTTCATTTGAGTCTTACCTTAACTGTCACCCTCTCAGAGAGGTCTTCCCTGATCATCCCATTCAAAGCAAAACCCTGAGTCGTCACCCCAGCACCCTACCACTGTCACTTGTAAACTCTCACACTTTATCTTCTATAGATCCTGTCAATACCTGAAATTATGTTATTTGTATTTATCAGCCTGTCTGCCTCATTGTCTTTCTGTCTTCCCCACAAGATAACTCTAGAGGGAGAATTTGGTTACCTCCTGCTGTACCCACTAGAGCCTATTATATAGTGCCTGTTCCATAGCAGGCACTCAAGAATTGTTTAACGTATTGATTTCAGGTGAGAGCTGCCAGAAGGATTAAAAGGGCTAGATTTGTATGAACAAATGGGAGCCATTTTCTACCTGTCTGTTAGGCTGTTGTGTCCAGACTTTGAGTTACACACATACAGTTAGATGGTGAGTAGGACAGCCCTCAGCCACCATTGTTTTTGGTGTTCCTCTGTCCCTTTGTTCCCTGTCACATGCACATATACACACACACACATGCACACACACATGCACAATCACCATTTTACAGGCGACGCAGAATGAGGCTCACCGTGCATAAAGGGGACCTAGGAAATCAGTGCACCCTCTGTGGCCAGAACCACACCATTTAACTTCACTTCAACAGTGGTGTAGGAAGACAAGTCCTAAACTCTTAGACTTGGTCAGCTTGGGTTCAGATCCCAGCTCTGTTGACCTTGGATCCAGAACTTCCCCTCCCCTGCTCACGGCGTCCCCCCATGGGCAGCCTGCCCTTCGTCTCCTGGGCATTGGTGACAGCAGTCAAGGAGGTGAGGGGAGTGAGGGCGGCCTATGCTTCTCTAGGCAGAGTGGGCTCTCTCACTGCTCCCGATCAATTTTTATCTCCTGGCTTTGTTCTTGCCTTTCCTAAACATGAACATAAGCTGCTCAGGGGCTTGGGGCTTGCACACACACTAAAAGCTGTGGAAACAGATCTTTGCTATGTCACAGGGTGAGAGAACAATGCGGACGGTTGTGGAAAGAGGTGTGGATGGTGGTGGAGTGTGGTGGTGACTCTAGGAATGTGACATCCCTCTAGGGACAGTGACAGCATGTGTCTGCAATAGTCACACTGAAAGGGAATGTGGACACTGGTCTCTGACCTTGACTCTGTTTCTTTTGGGGTTGAGTAATTCTAATTCACGGAGGACGTAAGAGCCTGTGCTTGAACGTGTGGCTTCTTTAGCTGCGTACAGGGGAGTGATTTGCCCTGATCTGCTCCCCTGAGACCCTTGATAATGATTGCCCTTGCCCCTCTCGGGGTCCTGATTTCTTTCTCCTGCCCACAGCTCCATTCTGAACCTGCCAGGGGAGTCGACACTGCGGCGAGACTTCCTGAGGCTGCAGCTGGCCAACAAGGAGCGGTCTGAGGCCCTGCGGCGGCAGCAGCTGGAGCAGCAGCAGCGGGAGAACGAGGAGCACAAGCGACAGCTGCTGGCAGAGCGCCAGAAGCGCATAGAAGAGCAGAAGGAGCAGCGGCGGCGGCTGGAGGAGGTGAGCACCTCTGCACACTCCACACCTCTCGGCCCAGGTTGCTCCCTGGGCGTCCATCCCTGAGCCCTGATCCCACCCCTGAGGTCGGGCACCTGGCCTGCTTGGAGCACACACATCTTAACGGCAAGGGAGGATGAGACCAAACGCTCTTACAAGTGAAGGGCTTCCCTTGCTTGGCAGGGGTGACCTTGGGGTAGTCACCAGAAAAGCAGGGGACACCTCTGCCCTTCAATCCTGGCTCCGGTATCACCTTCTCACTGAGCCTCCTTGACCCCCTTACCTATAATCCCATGCCCTCTCTCCAGCATGACTTCTTGTTTTCCCCGCTTTGTTACTTTCATGTGGCTCTTATCACCTTCACACATACGCTGTGTGTACTTGTCTGTCTGTCTCTCCCCACTGGGATGTAAGCCCCTCAGGACAGGGCATTTTGTCTCTTTTACCCCTGCTGTATCTGTAGTGCCTGGAACAGTACTGAGCACACAGTGGACACCTCATACATATATGTGGAACGGATGAACTGATGTACGAATGAATGAGTTAATGATTGACAAGTGAAATATATGAGGTCTGTCCAAAAAGTATCCAGCCTTGACCTATGAAAAATAGGGACATTTATTGAAGAAGATACAAAATACAAGAAACATCGGGCATAAGACACTGATGCCTCAGTTCCTGTCAGAGTAGACACCATGGGACCTTGCACAATTCTCCCAATCACCATCAGCTGCCCCATCGTATTTTCCTGAATTTCATCAACCAGTCTGAAATCTCTTCCCTTTTAAAAGTGATTTTAGTTTTAGGAAAAGCCAGAAGTCACAAGGCACCAAATCTGGGTTTAAGGGGGGCCAAGTCCCTTGGACAATTTGATGTTTTACCAAAAAACTCTGCAGGAGACCTGATGTATAGGCTGACACATTGTGGTGATAAAGCTGCCAATCACCAGTTGCCCATAGCTGTGGCCTTCTGAATCATCCGAATAGTTTCCATGGAGGAATGTTCAAGCATAACACAAAATTTGATGCAGATTCGTTGCTCTACTCAGTCATTTTGAATGCAACAGCCACACAGTACACATGTTCACTCAATGGCGTCTACTGCTCCCACTGATCAGTACAGTGAAGATGTCATTGTTCATGTATGCACATTTCAGCACACTCTCCTTGGCTGCCAGGTTACATCGATGTGTCTCAAGCCGTTCCTGTTATATTAACAACGGCTGGATTTTTTCTGGGCAGACCTTATAGGTATTAACTAGACCACAATAAATAAGCTGATAAGTAAAATGTCAAGTGTGGAAAAGCAAGACCTGCTTTTATTGATACTCCTTTGTTATTCCTCTGAACACTGAGGAAAGCATTTCCAAGTCCTTCCAGATGCCCTTTGGTTCCCAGGGCCTATCTTCCAGCTGGTGGGCAAGACTTGCCTTTACCTGCAGGCCCTGCTCTCATTTCTGTGGGAAACCACACCGCCTGCAAGGCTGGTTCTGGGTGAGGCCCTCACCTTTGTGGTCTTACAGATGTTTAGAAAAGTCTGCTTCCCAGAACCTTGCTCTGAGGCCTCCTTCCTCTGTCAGATAAATCAGCACCCTAGACAGTTAGGAAACAGAGAGCATAGGAAGCTGGATGGCAAATGACAGGTTCATTGACTGCATAGTAATGGGGTAGTGATTATACAGTTTTTCCAAACACAGCCATACTCCTCATTAACTGTTTACAGCAATTCACTCGCATTGTCAGGTGGCCGCTGCAGTTAGAGGGGGGTGAATTGCAGACAGCAGGAGCAGATTGCTTTTTAAATGGCTCATCCAGGTCCAGCCTCCCAGGTTTAAATCAATAAGGGGCTCAGTTTCAGTTTGCACTAAATCCCATCATTATACCTCTAGAACATTAGTATGCAGACCAGCAGCAACAATACCGAGCAATTGCAATTATTAAGTGGCTTCTGTGTGCCACAGACTGGGTGGGGTGCTTTGCTTGTATCTAGGAGAGTCATCTAGTATCATGATCTCTTCATGCATATTCATCATTTCTCATGCCAAGTCCATGTACTCTCCATTTAACAAGAGGAAACTGAGGTTCAGGGAGGGGAAGTGATTGGTTCCATGTCCCAGGCCCAATAAGTGCAAAGCCACGGTTCGCACCATGTCTGCCTGCTCACCTTGTCCACATGGGCCCCGAAGCGGTAAATGTAGATAAGCATCAGAGCCTTGAACTGGGATCCTCAAAATTGGACCTTGTAGGCTTCTGCAAGAGACAGTAGGCTAGTGAAGCTCTCTGTCATCTAAGTACATAAGTCTGTAATATTGTCTGTGTGCAGAATGCTCAGCACATGAGAAGGTTGAAGCTCACCACCTTCTAGCCTAGGACTTGCACTGCGGTAGACAGAGGCACTGTAGCACTGAGGGGCAGAGACCTTCAGAGGAGTGAGCGGAGACGGAGGTGGGGGAAGGGAGGTGTGGGTGTCATCAGGCAGCTCTCAGGAGTGAAGTACCAGGCACCACAGTGGAGCTGCCTGCACCTGTGATTCCTCTTCTGGGCACACACTAAAAGTCCGACAGGTCCTCGCAGCTGTGCCGTGGTGTCATCCTCTGCCCACCCCAGCCAGTTTTGGTCTCTTACTGGCCCGCAGCTGAGGTTCCTCCAGGCTCTCTGGTCTCTGATGATACAGCGGTGCAAGGCCTAGACAAGAAGGCCTTGTCTAGGCTGTTTGAATCCAGGGTTTACTCCCTTGGGCTTTTGGTCAAAACCCTCTCACCAGCTAGGCGCTGCCCGCAAGTCCTACCTTTCCTTCCTTTTCCCTGGCTTGTGGTTGATTCCTTCCAAAAGCATTTCCCACAGCTGCCTCAACACGGGAGCATCACACTGTGAAAACCTTGACCGTTTGCCTTCATGGGTTCCTTGCCCAGTGATGTGTTACACTGCATTTCAAGCTAGAAGCACTTACCATGTAACCCTAGAAAATCCCCCATCGTCCCATAAAACATTTAAAATATGAAAGGATGCAAACATGTGCAGGGGTGCCTACACACACGCTACACACATGAATTTCCTTCTTTTTTAAAAAAATTTAAACTGAGGGACTCTTGGCCCTTGGATCTAGATCCATAATTAATGCAACGTATTTTCAGACAGTGCAGTGTAGTTTTCTTTTGTTTTTATTTATTTTATTTTGTTTCCTTTTCCCTACCATGATTTATTTGAGCTTTCTATGTTTTTTCATCAAATTGCTAGAATAATCGTCTCTACCAGTTATGAAGCACTTACCATAGGAGAGTACTCTGTTCGGCACTTTATGTGGATTGTCTCATTTAGTCTTCACAATAACCCCAGCCTAAAGATAATGCAGCGGGGCCTACGGAGGTTAATGATGTTCTAAAGGTCACACAGCTTAAAAAGAAAACAGATTTCAAACCCAGGGGATCGGACTTAGGAGCCCAAGGGCTGTCACTGTACCCATCCTGCCTCTCCACTAAGCCATAGTCAATATGCTTTTCTGTAGTCTTCACCAGGCCTCCCCTTCAGTGGTCCCTTACCCTGAGTGTTTAAGGACCTCTGAGCAAGGGCAGAGAAGCTGCACCAGTAGGTGCACATCTTTGAACCAGCTTCTGGCTCTCCTTCTCCCAGTCAGAGGTACTACTGAGGCTTCTCATATCTCTTCTTTTGCGGCATTTTCTGGAGCCTCTCCCTTGGATGCAACTCAGTGTTCAGGCTCAATGGGGCACATACACTCACAGGAACACACCCTGTAAGGCCTTGCTTGCACAGAAGGCAACTGCATGCCTGAGGGCACTTTGTGCGCCAGCGTGCACAAGCCCTGGCTTCTCACGGGAAGCAGGAATGCTTGTGACTGCAGGACACCGAGGTTATACCAGCTTTATCTTTTGATCCTACATCTTGCCCCTATTGCTCACTGGAGAAGAAAAAGAAATACTGCATACTCAAATGGCTGTAAATTCTGAACACCTGAGTATGAATGTCCCTGCCACCAAGGACTCCCTTCCTGCATCCTTCTCCGGCTGGATTCCCATCCACGTCAGCTGCCCTGGCCTGAGGTGACAACTTTCGTTTCTGGCGTCCGCAGTTAGATCTGCATATTTCGCATCACTGTGGTCAGGTAGGCTTGTGTAAGCCTCCTGGGAAATGCGTTCCATTTCCCCAAAAAAAAAAAAATGCCCTTCCAATGCCCTTTCCGTGACACAAGGCTCTGGAGGCTATAGCCTTTGTCTTACTCAGTGATCTCAGCTGTCACCTCCTACCAAAACTTTCTAAGGAAGCCCTGCATGTCCTTTGCTATTTATGGCTAACCATGTGGGTAAGGCTACATTCTAAATCAGTATCTGTATATTCTTAGGAGGACTTTGTACACTTTGAATGTAGTCATTTATCAGCATGTGAAAAGCACATGGCTTCAAGGCAATTAAATGGTAGGTACAAGACTCTCAGCTTGTGACCAGTGATAAAGTACAATTTATAACTGAGTTCTAGGAACTTGATGAAACGTAGCTCAGGTGAGTGAGTCCAGCAATAGTGAGACACAGTATGTAGAGGGCTTCTTCTATTTTTATTCAGTTCAATAAAATTTTTCATTACTTGGCTTAGACAAAGCACAGTTAATTTTACCCTCTGCTACAGTTAGGGGCCAGGAGGTGTTGGGATACCCACTCTGGTCATCTTTTCAGACACTGACCTTGAGCAGAAGATTTGTGGTGATGCCTAAGTCTGCCTAAGGGTTTTGAGATGATACCAGTGATTTATATATATTTTTCAACTTGCACAGGGCCTTGTACACCTCCATTTTGGAAAGTGTGTGTTTAAGTCACAGGAATGAATCAAATTTACCCCAGGAACACCAACTTGCTCTGTGGTAGTAAGGTTATCTTTCAGAGAGTTGTGTTAATAAGTTTTTCAAGCCACCGAGATCTCATTTAGTGCCCTTCAAGACCATCATAACATAGTCCAATGAGAACCTAGAAGATGTTATACTGCTTTTGTTTTATT